GTGTGTGTGTGTGTGTGTTGTTTTTTGCAGACCATTCTTAATTCCATGCACAAATATCAGCCTCGCTTTCACATTGTAAGGGCCAATGACATCCTCAAGCTCCCGTACAGCACTTTCAGGACATATGTTTTCCCCGAAACAGACTTCATAGCAGTGACTGCTTATCAAAATGACAAGGTAAGCTTAAATGGGCTTTTTTTTTTTTCAATACAATTTCGACCAGGTTCTTATAACAACACCACTTTAACCCCCTTGTCTTGTCCTACCATGAGCGTTTTCTCTCGCGCTTTGCGTCGCTTTGTTGTCATAAAATATGAAAGACTTTATATTTGTTTGAGGCTGTTCAGCTCTTCAGCTGTTCTAGAAGAGGGAATGATGCTTTAGTCGGTGGTAGGAAAGTAATAATTCTGAGGAATGTTATATACAGGTTACCTTTCATTTATTTAATCACGTGGAAAGGATTTGGCACTGGCTCAGGATTTTTCTCGCTCTGTTAGCGTATTTAAGCAAGTGTGTGTGTGTGTGTGTGTGCAGAGCTAACAGGGCAGGGGGTTGAAAATGACGAAAATGAAACGAGAAGGAACTCGAGCAAGTAAGAAGAAAAGGGAGAGGCATTTTTTGACAGACCGTCCTGCATTGGTAACTTTGTATTCTTAGAAAAAAACGCGTATCAATATAAAACGCGATCTCAGCAGTCTGATTGGGAAATGTTTTGGTACCGCTTTTATGATTTCCTCTGTACAATAGCTGTAAGGACATAATTCTTCATAAAAGTTACAAAGAGGTGAAGGGGGTTGTGAGGGGCCAAACTTGCGTATCTGTGCGTATTACGCATGTTTGTCTCCATGTGCTTTGCGCTATTGCTGGTCAAGGTTGAGCGATATTTTAAAATAATTGTTTTCTGGGCCGCCACTGGATACTATCCATAGTTTATCTTTTTTTTGTGCATTTATCTGTATAATAATTTTACATTTAAACACCTCTGAAAAACTAAACTTACTCGCTGATCTTTTATAAGCAATTAATTCGTGCATGAAATGTTTTTGCAGCTTAGGCACGAGCAGAAACTGTTTGTTTGAATGATTACGCGCAGAGGCTTTTCCTTAGCAAACACCATATATGAATTATATTTCTAATTGTGTGGGGGTGGGTGTGTTGGGGGGAGGAGGGGTTTGGATTAGAGCACTGTAGCTCAGTTTCATAATGCGTTTAATTAAATTGTATTGCTTTGTTCTATTGTTGTTCTATTAAAGACACCACTTTGTTTACTATGTTAACGTGAACACAACACTTTGCTTCTTTCAGATAACCCAGCTAAAAATCGACCATAACCCATTTGCTAAAGGATTCCGTGACACTGGCAATGGGAGGCGAGAAAAAAGGTAAAAAAAAGTCTGGGGAAAATGCCTTAATCAAAAATAAAGGAGAAAGGTAGAGATGGCTTACATTGGATGAGAGAGGGGGATCTTGGTGGATTAAACCATGCGTCTAAGCTTCCACATTAACCCCCCAGGGAGTCCCCGTCTTGTCTCACTTTCATTTTAAACACTAATGCTGAAAGTGTTGACCTTTGTAACACCGGGGAAGTAATAATGGCCCAAACAAGTTTCCCCTGGATCTGTTGGGGTTATCCTGGTCCTTCTTATGAGCCATGGTACCGGCGCCACCTGTAATAACCTGGACACTTGTGCGCAGGAAACAGCTGGCTCTGCAGTCCATGCGATCCTACGAGGACCAGCAGAAAAAGGAAAACGGCGCTTCGGACGACTCCTCTGGCGAGCAGGCTTCCTTTAAGTGCTTTGGGCAGGCCTCATCCCCCGCCGTGTCCACAGTGGGCCCCCCACACCTGAAAGGTAGGCCCCACCGTTACTCACACCTCTTATCACAAGTCATAAAATTAGCAGTATGGGAAAATGTATACTGATTAGAAGGCCTTATGAATTTTCAAAGTTAGTCTGCATGTGCTGATTATAATTTGGATTTAGTTGCTTTTTGCTTGGAGCACTGAAAAGTTTAAGTCTGCTTAATGGAAATGTTTTAATGATCATAAAAACAAAAACCTCCATATTCTAAATTAACAAGGACACAAATGTGTGCAGACTCCAGCGTTCTTCAACTGATTTTAGATAAATATGCAAAGATCCATTAAAAAAGCTATTTAACGTTATTACAAAAGAAAAAAAAACTGAAGTAAGTTTACTGCATAATAGTGGCATATGTAGCCTAAAAGTATTCTTCCTTTTTGTTTGAGTTGTCAGCTCAATATGTATATCATCTTTTATGATTAATTAAGGAGAAAATCCAAAAGTTGCAACTTTAGCTGTACCAATTAACTCTTCAAAAGTCATAATGTCCGATTTTAGTTCTGATCCGCTCTGATAAACAAAGGCCATCTCTAATACTGAAAAATCCTAACTTTTGTCGCCTTTCCAAGAGCTGCATCGGACTTAAAAACTCATGTAATTTGATGCATAAACGGAGAGATTCTTGAAATCACTTTGTTTTCTGATTCAAAACAACTTCTCCTATCAAAGAAGCTGCTATTTTATATGTCATAATTCTTGCTTCTCATTAAGTCCTCAAAGGAAACCATAAATTTACATTTTCCCTGATTGGAAGCATTTTTAAGTGCAACTTTATTTACCTATTTATATACTATCATTTTATTTGTAATTGCATGTCATTGAATACAGCCATATATAGCAATAGCCTAGAAAAAGGGTATATTAGTAACATTATTTTTTAAACACACCTATGTTTAAAAAAATAGTTCAATGAGAGAATTTGAATTAGATGATATAAATAGTGCAACCATGATGTGGGCCTCCATAAAATGGAAAAAGGAACACTTTTTTTCAGATCAGGAATGTTAAATTTAGTGGGTTTTAAAAGAAAAAGCACTTGTTACAGTATCACTCCTATTTTAAAATAGGAGTTATCAAAGTGCTCTCCCAGTGATTATCACTGGGCTTTGTGTGGTCATCCTTCACAAACTTTCTGGAAAAGGCGTTGACCTCAGTGCTATTTGTAGGGTCAGCAGTAATGCAACATTCTGCTCGTTCTCCTCTAGATTTCTGCGACAGTGAGGAGGACAGTGACGACGAGAGCAAGGATGGCAACCACAAAGATGGTCCAGATTCCAGTAAGATCTCGACCACCACTGGGGATGGAAAAGATCACGAAGCAAGCCCAACTAAGGGACATCCTTTCAATAGCAGCGACTCCACAGCCAGGAGGACTGAGAAAAGCCAGGCAGACTCTCGACAGAGTCCAATCACAGTCATCTCCAGCACCACACGTTCTGCAGAAGATCTGAAGAGCCCGAACCTGGACCAGTCCAAAACAGATGAATGTAGGTCAATAAGCAAGGACAGCTTCATGCCATTGACTGTTCAAACTGACAGCGCGCACATGAGCCACAACCACTTGCATAACTTTGGATTTCCGCCAGGCCTGACAGGACAGCAGTTTTTCAATCATCTGGGGAGTGCGCATCCATTTCTGTTGCACCCCAGTCAATTTAACATGGGGGGTGCATTCTCAAATATGGCAGCTGGAATGGGACCTTTACTAGCAGCGGTGTCTTCAGGAGGGGTGAGCACTATGGACACGGCCAGCATGACATCACCTCCACAGAGCCTGACCGGGGCACCAGGCCTGCCCTTTCATCTGCAGCAGCATGTCTTGGCATCCCAGGTAAAACCTCTTGTCTTTGGTTGGGTGATTATTACCACTAAAAACTTACTTTTTGTCCTTTTTTTATTGACTTTAACAGATAAATGTATTACTTAAATTCTATTGAAAGTATTTATTGACTCATGATCAATTGTAATAAGGTCCACCATGCAACGGGTAGAACATTTCATGACTTAGGAAGGAAATAAGAATATTAACACTCACTCTACATGGCAACAAGACCAACCATAAAATGTATTTTCATGTGTGTTTACGATCATTCCTAAAAAGGTTCAGTATTTCTTTTTACTGCTTATTGGAATTATTTGTTAGAATTCCTTTCTTTATGCTAGATTTTAGGAATAATTTATGTGTGATAAATTGCTATAAAAAAATCAATGTTTTTATCTTTTAAATATGCTCATTAAGGTTGAATTTATGATTTGGGGAAAAGTTTTTCAAGGGTTATGAATTGATCTTTCTCTGATTCCTTGTCAAACAATCATAGCTGCAGCTTCATAGGAACCATGCACCAAGGACAGTGCTTTTTCTGCTTTTGTTGTTGGTTTTTGTTATTATTTGCATTAAAGTTTCTTCTAGGAAAGGTGAGGAAAAGTACAGATTTGGTTTTGTTTCGTTCGGAAAAGACGGATTTAGGGAAAATTATAATATAATCAGTAATTTCGGATAATAATAAGTACAAATATCGTGGGTTGATTACATGTTTGACCCGTTGCTATATATTTTTAGACTAATTTTTTCTCTTTGTCCACAGGGCCTTGCTATGTCACCTTTCGGAAGTTTGTTCCCCTATCCGTACACCTACATGGCAGCAGCGGCCGCGGCCTCCTCCGCCGCGTCCTCCTCGGTTCACCGACACCCGTTTCTTAACGCAGTGCGCCCCCGCCTCAGGTACAGTCCCTACTCGCTTCCCATGACGGTTCCGGACAGCACGCTGCTCACCACCGCCGCGCCCCCCATGCCTAGTGGCGGTGGAAGCGGGCCTGAGCTGAAAGCGGACGGGCTTATCCCCAACAGCCTGGACTCCACCTCGGAGGTGACCAGCCACTCCTCTGGGATCCCCTCCGCGTCCCCAAAGACCTGCGCGGAGAAGGACGTCGCCAACGAGCTGCAGAGCATCCAGCGCCTGGTGAGCGGACTGGAGTCCAGTCAGGACAGGCCCAGGAGCGGATCCCCTTAACCCACCAACACCCACAGTCCACCTGCTGCTCCAAAAGTGAACCTTCTAGACGGTGATAAAAACTCCTGCAGGTTTTTAATAGAAAAACAAAAAAAACCTTTTAATTTCTGAAATGCACTTTGTTTATTACACATCTAAATGTATATTTTTATCTCCTTCTTGGTTATTTTCTCTTTTTATTAATTTAAACTACACTTATGTTTCCGACTTTTTCCTGTTTTTTGAATACCGAACAAGTATTGAAACTGAAAACGCTGGCATGGGTGTGAATAATACAGATTACAGAGAAGTTGCTGCTGTGTCCTGTCTCCTGTAACTCTAAACGTATGCACTCCGAATTGACTTATTCCGTTTGGACCTACCTTCTATGTTTTTGATTATTCTACAAAAGAATACTGCTGTATTTTCTCGTACGCCATGAATTAAGCAATTGTTGCATGCCTTCGAAAATTCAAATCCGATTTTCTTTTTTTTTGTTTGTTTGTTTTTTGTTTTTATAAATACTTTCCCTCACATTTTTTTCCTTTTAATTACATTAAAAATAAAATCAAATTAGTTTTTCCTAAAGTTTTGTTTTTGGAAAGGTCTACTGAAAGAATGGTGCTCCGGGACAAAACTGAGGCGCAAGCATGTGGAATTAAGGGAAGCAGAAATTTAAAGTAAATATTGAAAAAAAAAAAAAAATGAATGGTAGTATTGATCATTGATGTAAATAGGGATATATAAAAATATTTATGTAATTATTTGATATTGTTATTGCGTGTAAATACAACGGAGTAGTTTGTTTCCAGGGATCTGTTCTTAATTTATTGTTGATATACCTGTGTAAAGACGGTTTGTGGACTATTACCCCATCTGCATTTATATTTCCCCTTAAAACACAGACTGCAAATCCCCGAAAACAACGTTCACAAAGAGAGAATTATTCACAATCATGTGCCATTGTATTTTCACCTGTCCTTGTGAGTGAAGTGCTACTGTTTGAAACGAATGAAACTGCGACAACGCACTGCACCAATGGCTTGAAAATAGAAAATACATTTTTTCCTCCTCTTTGTTCTTTTTAAGTGTTGTTGAAGTGTGACAAAAGTGAATTTATTTTTCTCCTGTTTTTTTTTTAAGTCTGATCCTCTTTTCTTCTCAAAAAAAGTGCCGCATAATCGAAAAATATGAAGGTTTTTTCCTCTCTGTCTTTTTTTGTGTTACTTAATTTGTCTGTGGGTTATGTTGTATTGGAGTTATGTCTAGTTTACATCATCGACATTGTGTTCTTGAAAGTTTCAATAAAAAAAAATATTTTAATGCTGTTTGCAGTGTGTGCGCCTCGCTTTTCACCCAAACCGACAACTTTTCTTTTTTTTTTTTTTATTAAATGCATAAGAACATTTTATTTAAATAACGATTGAAACTAATTTTAAAAGACAATTTTATTTAATTGTTTAATGTGTGAGCTAATTTTAAACTAACATTACGTTTAAAGAGTCAGTTTAAAGAGTCGCAGAAAAAAAAAATCCGCGTTTATGTTTTTGTCTTCTATTGGCATGACTCCTGAAGCAGGACATTAGACATGAAAATTAAATATGGCAGTTATCACCGTAGGGCAATGCTGTAGCTCTATTGAACGAAATGCAATTTAAAAACTGTAACGCAGAATTATTTATTTATCTTTACTCTTGAAATGTAACAAAATCAATGCAGTTTTGTTAGAAAGCGACCGCATAAAAAGTGTCATCTTATACTGAAGAAGCTATTACAGTATGACAGCAGTAAAAAAAAAAAGAAAAAGAAAGAAAGGTTATCCATGATTACTCTTCTATTGCACCTTCGAGTCCTGAGTTTATCAACATCATATCTTTATTTGTGTATCGCCTGGTTAATGTGTAGCTTGTCTGGCGCGGATGGGTAGGTGTAAACGCGATACAAACTGTCTGAATTGGTCAGTCTTATTGCTCACCTGGCGCCTTGCAAGAGCATATCTTCCATTTTATTGCACGGAAGGCGACAAAGCGTCTGTAAATCGCGACGCCCCCTAGCGGTGCGTCCTGGAAGGGAACTTTCATTAAGCAGAAGACCAAAGGACAATCCTGGATCGGAGCTCATGAGGGGCCAGTGACCGGGTGATAAGGATATTCGACTCGGTCACAGGTCTATTGCAGCTTCTATTATGTTTGTTGATGACTAATAAAGAAATCCTAAATGAGTCTAAACAGCCGGCAAACATACTGGAATAAAGTTAATTTGGCTGCTTATCATTTATGCGAGTTTAACAGCCGCCAGTGCATCGCGTACCGCAGGTATCAACGCAAGCAGTTAGGATATAAAAATAGGGTTATTATCATAGAGATTGAATCTTTATGAAGGAGTAGTTTTTTTCCTGTTTGCATATATAACCTAACAAACATATCATCATTATATAAAAATTGGCATATTAAATATTTTGGATGGTTTCTTTTCTTTTTTTTCCATAAATAAAACGTTTGTCTCCGAAACCATAACAAGTCCTGAGAAGAACAACCTCTCCTGGGATAGTTCGTTTGTTGAATCATTTTCTTGAAGTAGCCTTTCTTCTGAAAAGCTTGCTTTTAATGTGATTGTGCAATTGCGCCATCTAGCGACATTAAACTATAAACAATAAAAGAAAAAAAACTGCTTCATTTTCAGAGTTGGAAGGTAATTTGGAAAGGGAATTTTATGCAAATTTCTGTGGCATGCAAAGTGGGGTTCATTCATCTGTTTTATTTATTTAGATAGTTACTTCGTTTTATTTGTTTGTTTATTTTATCATAATTGTGATATAAATTTTTTTTTCATGCAGAAAGCTATTCTAATTTTTAGTTCCTACTTTTGATATAGTTTTATGTTTTTTTTCCTGGCCTAACTTTTTTAGCAATGTAAAAACCGTTTGTTTTCATATGCTTTTATGTTTTGTCTTTGCTACCTCATCTAACTACTCAAACTTGGATTCATAATTGGTCAACGGGGTGCAACAAAATGAGAAAGATGGGCAAACCTTTACTTTAAGAGTTTACCTTAATTTTTTAGAAAAAAAAATGCTTTTTAAATCCGTTAAGTGGGTCCCTATTTCTACAGAACAGACTGCAATGATATCCTTCTGCTCTAAAAGAAAAGATCATTAAAAAAAATGCTGGAGGTTTCTTTCTGTTAAAAAGGAGTTTTTCTTCTCTACTGTAACTACAACCATGCTCGGTGTGAGGGATTGCCTTTGAGTCAATGAGTCAATGCAATCAGCTGGCCTTTTTAATACAGAAAACTTTAAACTAATCTTACTGTATGATCTGTTGAAATTGAGATTACATTTTGTGCTTTGGTACTATGACAAAGGATCGCTTTGAATGTGAGATTTGCCTTTAGCTTGTTTAGTTTGCATTCACATTCAGCAGGTCTCTATATTATTCCACCCATTTAATGGGCACTGACTGTCCTTGATGCCCTCCCGTGGTATTCAGTATAATGACCAATTGCTAAAGCATGAGAGTAAAGAGGGCAAGGTAATGACATTGAAAAATAGCCTTTGGAATAACCTGCCTTTGGATATAAGAGTTGCATTGTCTTTTCAATTCAAGTCTCTTTAAAAAGGCATTTTCTCTTTTCACAATTTGGTCTTTGTTGTGAAAGCTTATGTTCTTTTTAATTATTAACTGGGATTATATCTGATGATGTTCTATTCTTTGTTTTTATTTTCTTGTTGAGGATGATGTGATACTTTTGCTTACACTTTTGTTTAACTTCTGTTGCTATAGTTATGGAAATATGCAAAACAGTGACTTAAAGTGTAACAGGAGCTCAGATTTTAATCTGTATTTGGTTACAAGCTCTTGAATTATTTTTGTTCAGTTGTCACTCAGGCATGACCTGCTCTTTTATCTTGTCGTTGTCCAACAGGAAAGTTAAGATATAGTAATGCCCGGAGGACAATTTTCACCTTGCAAAGCACACCCTACAAAGGAGCCGTCTTTGTTTCTATTTATGCCGACACTTTCTTGGTTTTTTTTTTTTTAAAGATTCCTGCCTTCCCATAAAAAAAGAAAGTCTAAGAGGTCACAATTTTGAGTTAAATATGTTTTTCTTATCAAAAATTTTGACAAAAAAGTTTATGAGGTCACATGTAATGCAGGAGGAAATCTGTAGATGTTAAATTAAAAGCATGAAGTCAATTGCAATCTATGTTTTGCAGCATAATGGATACAACATCAGAAAGTAGCAAACGGCGGGAGAAAGTGGGGGCCTAGTGGTTACGGCATAGGTCTTTGAATCCTGAGGTTGTGAGTTCCAAACCCACTGCCGCAAACTGCCACTATGGCTCTATGAGCAAGACCCTTAACCCCCAATTCCTCACTGGGTGCTGCACAGTGCCAGCCCACTGCCTCCCAAAGGGGATAAGTTAAATGCAGATAGTTAATTTCTCCATTGTGAGCTCAATATAGTTCAGTTTATATTATCTATATAAAAAAGGCAATAGGATTGGTGGAGACAATTATTGAACAAATTATATTAAACCAGAATCCTCAATCCCATTTTAGATTCCTTCTTACATGTGGCTGAATCTGACCTTTTCCATTTTGTTTTGTCTTCTTTATTTTCACATGCATGTAGTGCTCTCTAGTGTCCAATCAAAAGTATTACATGCCTAGCTGGAGGCTGGTTAATAATCTGCACCGCATTGAGGTCTGAATCATAAAGGTTAGAAGAAGACATTTGCTTTTAGCAAAATTACATAATCAGAATGCTAGTGGAAACATGCAAAGTAGGAAGAGATTGATTCCTGTAAGGCAAAAACGAGATCTCAGGAGTTTTTGAGGAGGAAATGAATACATTTTGAAGCAATGTTTAAAAAAAAAAATCCTATTTTTAAAATGTTAATTATTTACATTATACATGTCTTTTCAGACATATGTTATCTGTCTTATTTCATTTCAGGGACAAAAGTCTTGTTTTACTGACAATATACTCTAAGTCTAAATCTTTCAAACCAGTTTTTGTTTGCAGACCAACAGTCATTGCAAAATAACAGCACCATCCACTCAATGTTTAGACGATCTAAATCTTAATCTTCAAAAAAAAATCATTGAAGTATGATTAAACTTTGATTAACAGATACTTTAATCAGCCTAAAAATATCAGAGAAAACATTATTTGAAACTTAATTTTAAATGCTGGTTTGAAAGTTTTCAATTACTTGAGAGAATAATAAAAAGTATTTTGTGGGCTTAAGCTTCTACTGACCCTAGTTTCTCTTGGGCTGGTTTGAAATTGGTCAGTCCACATTAATCTAATCTCTAACATCACAAAAAAAAACTCCTTACATCATCAAAGATATATAAGACATGTTTTTAACCACCCGATACATTCTTTGTTTAAATAAATATGACCTTAACAGGGATTCTCTGAAATGCTATACCTAACAACTGTCTGGTACATTTGGTTCATTCCTTTTTTCAATTGGTGCACTTAAATTCATTTAAGAGGCTTTGAGTTTCCTGTTATTCTTTGGGTGATTAGTTTGCAGCTTGAGAGCAGCAATGAATAGACTTTATAAACTAATATTAGTTTCAACAGGGCATGGTGTAAGAAATGTTCACTGATTAAGATTAAAAGATTTCCCAAATAGAATCTACCTTTGCAGTTTTTATACCAGTGTTGTGGTTAGCTTCACTGACATTTTAAAAGTATGGTTCGGATTTACTATCATGCAATGCTGTACTATTGGTTGTCAAGATTAGGTTAGCATTTGTCTCAATATGGGGTTAGCATTGAGGAAACTGAAGTAAAGGCTGTCAATTGGAGCTATTTAATAAATATGTAGTATTTGTATATTGGAAATAATCTGCTGCATTTGGAATGGGGTACATTACACTGTAAAAAAGAATCCCCAAAAAAAAAAAAAAAAAAAAGAAAATAGCAAAGTAATGCCAGGACAGGACCAGGAGATTTTTTTTGCAAAATTTTTTTTTTTTTTCTCTTGACGTTTCTCTAAATTACTCTGAAATGTTCCCCATTGCCGTTAGTGGAGTTTTCAGTTTTCAACTCTCTTACCTAAACAGCTCTAATAAATACGGTTGAAAGAAAAACAAATTATGGAAAATTGCATCGTTACTATAGCAGTTAAGCCCATTGTCGCTGTGGCAGTCTAATGAAATCAGACACCCACAAACTAGTGACGGCTTGTTTAAATAGGTTAGGAAACTCTGCACATCTACATTCCCAAATACTGAGGGAGGAGACTATATCTATTCAAACAGAGACATCTTTCTGGTTCATTGAAAGCAAATA